GGGAGGGCCCGCGGGAGGTGAGGCCGGGGCCCAAGGCCAGCCCCGGCCAGGCGGGCGAGCGGGCCGCAAGTGTGATGTTAACTCGGTTTGCTTTCACAAGTGCATCTCGTCCAGGTTTTCCCAGGCTGGAAGGCCCTTTGTTAAGCTGGGGGGTGGCTCCGTGTGGAACAAAAAGGATATTGAGGAGCAGCTTGCTGGCTTCTCTGGGCTGCCGGGGCAGCCGCAGTCCTGTCAGAGGGGTGCTGGGGCTCGGCCTGGCGCTGGAAGTGAAGCTGCTGGCTTCGGAAAGAGACTGAAAGTTTTGAAATTATAAAGATCTTGGGCAACCCTGCTTTTCAAAATTATATATGTGTGTGTGCGTTAAAGCATTTACATAAAACTGACTAGAATTCATTTCAAAAGAGAAATGAGGGAGGGAAAAAGATCCACAATTTCTCCTGTTACATTTTAAAATCCCATTTCGTTTAGCGACCTGTGGTTTTGTTCCTTAATTGCACAAAGATTGTAGCCAGCCACAGTGCTAAGTGTTACGTTACACGGCTTGCATAGCTGCTGCGATCACAATAAACACGTAAAAATTGCAGTTCTCTATTTCATGGGGACGCACTGAAAATTCAGAAGCTCCTGATAATGACTCACAACTTTAAGTTCATTTTACTGAACTGAGCAAACCTCAACTTGTGGCCAAAAAAATAAACTGGAAAGTTCAGGGCAGATCTGTGTGTAAGGGGATGAATTATGCAGGCCGTTCCAGTCTCCACTAGCAATATGGGGAAATACGAGCTGTAGTTTTTTTCACGACAGGCGCAAGGGAGAATGAAGGAACATGGGATAGAAATAAAAGGGTGGATGAGAGGTAAGGGGAGAAAAACTAGAATGAATTTCCCTGAGTCAGTAAAGCAGAAAATAATTGTTACTGTGGGGATCAACTCTGAAAAAGTCTGCAGTGGTTCGACTGCCAAACCTTAATAAATTGCGACTTGTGGGTGTTACGTGGTCTAAACAATTCTGTTAAAGGGCTTTGCACCAGTGAGTGGAGGCTATGAATAGTGGAAAGACTTAAGACTTTTTTTTTTTTTCCTTTCCAGAACCACTCACAGAGTTTAGATGCTGGTGTGTCTGAGACAGCTTCAGAAACGTAAGAGTTGTCTTTCAGAGAGGCTGATAATCAACAGCTCTGATTAGAAGTGGTAGATGTACTGACAGAGCTTAAAGCAATTACCCCAAACACAGAACCTAACCTGGAGGGAGTGCTTCTCCACTATCTTAGGTTTTGGGTAGCCATTTATAACAGCAGAGTAGGAATTGCTTTCGGTAGTGTTTTACAGACACGTAGGGGATGTAAATACATGAAAAAGAAAGGTGTGGGGAGTGCAAACCCTGTAACATGCATAACATTTCACAGAACCATTGCTCATGAAATTTGGATCCGGGCTTTCAAGTGGGACACGGCTATTTTCTTTCTGAAGGAGAAGTCCCAATTTTGGACTGTCCAGAAGCACCTTAGGGTTGCTTTTCAGAGGATTTTCATTTTGACTCAAATGTTCAGGATCCTTTATGTGTTCTTTGACACAAGAGTTGTCTTAAGAGCTCGCCAATGGCCAGTCAATAGTGCTGTAATACACAATTTCTTCAGTTAAGCTAATGCAACGGAGCAAGATTAGAAAACAAACCCATTTTGGTATTTATTTTTCCTTAACCAGATGATTTCTGTGATCCAGTTTAGTATATAGCTTCTAAATCTATTATATATGCACAACTTTGAAGGTAACAAACTGCAGTAGCCAGGGCAAGGAAGAGAGAGGGATTTTGTAATTGTCCTCACCTCTGAAGAAAATCTGATGTGTCACTATGACAGTTATATACAGCCTGATACACAATTCCACATAGCCTGTTCCTGGCCGCAGATCTTAAGGATTTCCTCTTCCTCACCACCTATGGCCCCACGGTTGTGCTGCCACAGCTGTTTGTAACTCTGTGCTGGGGTTCAAACCAATGCTTGGATTAAAAGCAGCACTGTTTTTAGTAACACATTTTTTTAACCGAGATCAGTTCATTTCTCCAGTTTACTGTGTGGCCTTACGTACTGTTGTGCTGACACAGCTGTTGAAAATGTACCTTTTTTGGTGGCGAGACAGGATATGGGAATTCCTACTGTTTTTGCTGGCTTGCCACCAAAAATGGGGGGGCGTATGTGAAACCACTCCCCCCCAGCTCCCCTGAAAGCAAGGCCAGTTGCTAAAATCTCGGCAATTAAAAACAGGGGCTATTTCTGAGCCTCAGGGAATGTCTGATACCTATAGTTGTGTGCTGCTTCGCGCTGTTGTTCTCAGCTTGCTTGGAGAACAGAACATTTTCTTGACATGTTTGAAAAGTAACTTAGACCACCGCAGTTATTCAGCTGTAAGTTGTATTTGATGTATGTCCAAAACTGTATTTTTCAAGTGAGTTCCAGTGAATGCAGTAATAGTAGAAATCTTTCAATGGGCTTTTTGTTTAGTGAAATAAAATGAACAGTTGTTTATCACTATGTGGAGTGCTTGGTATCCGGCCAATAATAATTTAGTAGTTAGTAAGAATTCTGCTAAAACATACATACTTATCTTGCTTTCTTTTCTTGAGTTCCTGCTTTCGTCCATGCAAGAAATCATTCCAGCGGTCTTAACGGCCATTCCATCACTTGTAAGTGAAATCTGGAATGCTATAAAACCTCATTTACCCTTTCCTCAGTCTGTCCTTGTATATCCTCGCTATATTCCCTAGACCACCTTAGATAATGTCTTTTTTAGCTTGGATTTAAGGCCATAAAAAGCTATGAAGCAATAATGTAAGTACTTGTGTGATGAAGATTTTTCATGCGGTTTTTCCTCGGGCCTTTCCCCCTCATCCAACCTGTATGTACATGATTAATGATCTCTCTTTGAGCAAGCTTCTACATGCATTGCCACTGCAAGTTCTGCTTCGTATAGTTATGTTCAGGCATCTGGATTCCACTCCACATGGTAATTTCTTTAGTTTTTTAGCTAGTGTCTTCCTTTGCATAAATGACAAACTGAAAGAAACAGTAGAAAAAGACCTTGCATTATATCTTAAAATGTCATCCGCGGAGATCTTGAGTTCTTGCAACTCCTACAAAGTTCATGGAAGTTGCAGCTGCTCAGCATCACTCAAGGTTAGATATTTGGTTTCCTGTTCTTCACATTAATGCTTTTATTCAATCTAAAGCAGGTGCCATATTCTTATTTGCCAGTGTATTTTTCTTTCCTGGATAAGGAATTCAGATAAGAGTATTAAATTCATTAAAATAGTTATCTGTCACCATGACGTACTACTGGTGGGTAACACAACCTGGTCTTTCCAGCTAAAAGAAGCTTTGTACAGAATACTGTGCATTATCGTGCTAAATTATGGATTTGATGGGAAACAATAGGACAAACTCTGATCTCAGTTATGCTGCTGTAAATCCAGAGTCTTTCCATTTATTTCAGTGGATTTTTTTTTTTTTTGTATCTGTAATAGTTTAATGAAGAGCAGACTTTGGTGCTGAGATGATAATCCTGCTCTTCGACCAGGAGCAACATAAAATCAGCGCAGTTATACAGGTCTAAAAGAGTGCTAATGAGGAGTTAGTTACAAGGCAATTATTGCTGCCAGGAATGCTTAATACTTAAAGAAGGAGATACAGTCACTTCTTTCAAAATAGCTTCAACCCAGCCCTCAGTGAAGTTAAGGAGAAGGCATGGGCACGGTGATTATACATTCCATTCTTGTGTGTGTACCGTCTAAACCAGCTTGGGATTTGTACTGATGCAAACTTTAATTACACTGGGTTATTTTTTTTTTGTAAGGCCATTTATGTGCATAAGGATGCAGATAGTTCTTGAGTACAGTAAGATCTGAGGTCTTTGACATCTCACTGGCTTCGGAATCTCAGTACCCATGAGAACTGAGTCTGCAGTCAGAAGCAGTTCGTGCTCCTGGATGGGTTATAACATGCCAAACCGAGCCACAGGTTTCCACTCCACAGCTCCTGAAGGAGCACAAAACATACTGCTCCTTTCTATGGGTTTTGCCAGGCTGAGCCATGTACAGTTAATTACATCAATGCTATTTTTCTATTTCTTTTGCATATAAGCATCTTATCGAGTGATTCAGGCCCATACTGTCCTAACAGGGTAATTAAATATTGGTGTGACTTGATGGTTAAAATACAGTTCATGACAATTAAGGCTGTATGTGGACAGCAGGATTTGGGGCCCTGTCCCGGTGCCTGTCCCAGCCAAGTCACAACTTCAAGTCAGGATGAGACCTGGGTGCCTGTTACTCTCCTCCCTCCTTTTCCCCAGTGCCCATGCTCCTGTGAAAGGAAACACACTCCAAACATGTCCCCGATCGGGGCCGCTGGGGAGCCTGCAGCCGTGGGCACACCGTGATCCAAACTTCCCATGTATTTTAGCCATAACCTTCCCCAAGGCAGCATTGTTTCCTAGTTTGCTTTAACCGTTAGAAAAAAACCCCTGTCATTTAATATGGTCTAATCTAACCTTACTGTATGTTAGGGAGCTTATATACGTGCGTGTCAATAGCCATTCCGCTAGCAAGAGAGCTGTCCCTACGTATGGCCGTGTTGCCAGCCTGGCCTTAATAGAAACTGCCCTTTCATTTTTGGATGCTGTTCTGACAGCGTTCTTGTTAAGCCGTTTGCTTGTGATAGCTAGAAAGATGCATCCCTTCCTGTTAAGTGGTCAGTTTAGTCCCTTCAGCATAATAACACATTCAAATTAATGTGCTGCCATGAAAGAAACATATGTTAGAGGGCAGACTCTAGGCTGTCACAACATTGACTATTGAGATTTGAGAATGAAATAGCAGTCCTCGTGATGGCCTTCGGGGAAAAGACGAACACATCTGGTAGCCAGCTCATGAGCCGGCATTTGGAGCACTCTGGAAGCAGACAGACACTCTTAGCATTAACTGCTCATGGATTTTGTATCACCATTACGTGAAGTTTCTGAGCATGCTGAAGATGGGGTTAGATCATCTGCTGGCACACACGGGAAGCACATTGATTTCTTACATTAATCTTTAAATAGAAAAGCTTTTTATTTGATAGGCATGACTTAAGGCTGGTTTACCTGTGCTATTCATGCTGCCATGGCTGACGTAATTGAAGAGTACAAACCACCAGAACTGGCAAGTGAGATTAGATGCTCATAGCGATACCTTCCCGAGTCCTCTGGAGCAGTGTAACTGCCCCTGGGGCAGAAGGGCTTTCAGCACTTTTTACTAAGTTGACTTCTGATTCTAAACTGCATGTCTCAGCCCAGATCAGGTGGAAATTACCTCCTTCTCAGTTCAGCCTGCAGAAGGGAAGACATGAGCAGTTCCTCGTCTGCTGTAATGCTAAAGCTTGAACCTTCCTGGCAGGTGGACCCTGCCGACGTCTTGCTGCAGTGAGAGAGTAACACACTTCCCCTTCCCCCTGTGCTGTTGTGAGAGCAGCAACATGCAGTTGGTGGGAAACAGTAACTTTTGTTGTTTGCAAAGTAAATTCATGCCTGTCCTTGAAGTTGCGCGGCCTCATTCGAGTGGACTCTTGATGTAGCTGTGTCAGTAAAAGAGGCTGGTAGTCCCAGCCACTTGTCATTGCCTTTTCCCAGGAATTAATGCCCTCTCATGATGTGTTTGCAGAGATGCTTGTGTGAGTGCCCCTTAACCCACTTCAATCAAACCGGGTTAGCAAAAACCTCCTACTTAATCCATTTAAGCTAAGTCTGGCTCAGGTTGACCCAAGTAGGTTAGGGGGTGTCCACACGAGCCACTCTGCAGGCAGATCTGAAGAGGTGGTAATTTCCACAAGAAGAAGTAGGACGGGCTGAGCAGGGGGAGTGGATCTGAATCAGCAACTTCTCCCATCCCCTCAGCTGCAGGCGGAAGAGGACGCCAGCCGCTGCCCTGCGCTGCGCACACACACAGGCCTGTTGGGCAGCTCGGCTGGCAGGCAGAACTTGGGAAGCCACAGCGGTGCAGCTGTTTTCCCATATACCCCTTCCCGTAGTTACAACAGTAGAAAAACCTTGTGCAGAGCAGCTGTTGCCGAGAATGCACAGCAGACTGAAGCCTCTGTAGGCTCCTCACGCTCTCCTGCTCGAGCATTTGTCCTTGGTCAAGAGCTGGTACAGGTAGAGGTCCAAATTATGGTCAAATTAGTGTCAAAGTGGATTCTCGGCATTTGCATTGCCAATTCCTGAAACAACTGCAAGCACACATGTTCCTTTGGTGTCTACAGTATGGCAGCTTTCTCTAAAAGATGTCTGATGCAGAACTTGTGTAGCTATCGGGCTCACAGGCCCACAAAAAGCATACGTAAGAGCTGGGATCTGTGCTGGGAAGGGCTTCCTTACTTCCGACATGGTGCTGCTGTTACAATCCTTGTCACGGAGCTTACAAGTATTCGCCTGGCCCTTTGGTTGGCTTGAGTCTGCAGAGAAATTTTAACCTCAAATCTGTAAGTTTAGCGTTTTCATAAGATTTGGGGTACATTAAAAATCTGAAAGGAGATCTAGGTAGTGGGTAGGAGTGGGGGAGGTCTAGGTAGTGGGTAGGAGTGGGGGCAGGGAGAATATCTGTATAAATTACATGCCAGGGCTGTGACTTTATGTCGAAGGGATAACTACTATCAAGATTTGAAATGTGTCCTAACAATTGCATTCTCACTGAGGTGCTTTTCTCTCTCCATTAGCAACTACTACTGATCTCATTATTGTTTTTTATGCGTATGAAGTAAGTCAAAGGTTGAAGTGATCTTGCTACTTCAGGAATAAATGACAAAGTTCCCCCTTCTTTCAGATGAGGCAGAAGTTTGGAGGTCACACAGATACCAGAAATGCATATGCAAGGATGTGAACGAAGGAAGAAATACTCACTGCTCTCATCGTTTTAGAGCCTGGAGAAAGATGAGGGGCCTTCAGGCAATTCCCAGCCTAATGCTGACCCTCCTTCCTTGTCTCCCTGCCTCTTACCCACTCCTGCCTGGGAGGGAGAGGAACTGGGAATGGTGGCTGCATGTTTTCTGAGGAATCTCTGTACCAGATCTCTATTTATAAGGATTCAGCCAATCTGTGTCCCCCTTACGCAGCACAAAGAGATGAGGCAGGGCAGTGCGTCTGCTCATACATATTTCAAATCCTTTTTTTTTTCCTTAGGGTTGTTTTCACTTTTATTTTAAAACAGTTAGGGTAAATCTAGCTGCCCTAAAGCTAACTCCTCTTCTACATAGTTTACTCTTGTTGATTTAAAAACAAGAATCATGAGAAAGATTTGGCAGCGTAGCACTTGCTATGCAAAATTTACATGCAGCTGCTTTGAACTAAATTCCCAGTAGAAGTGAAAGGATTTTGAGGCTTCCAGATCTTAGCAGACTACTGTTTTTCGCAGACAGAAATCTGTATAATATGTACTTCTCCAGAGATCCCTCCCAGCCAGCTAGGACTGTACTATCCTTCTCCTACCCCACTGAGACATATTATCAGCTTTTGGGAGGGGATCCTTCTGGACCTAGAAAGTTAATTAGCTTTGCTTGTGAATGTCTGCCATTGAAGTGGCTGATTACTTTTTGGAGGGAAGGAAAACTCGTCTCTAGAGTTGAAAACAGCAAAACCATGCAAATTTGTGTAAATCTTGATGCTTATTTCTCTTCTGTGGGGCAACACTCTTCTCCATAAGTGGGGAAAAATTTCCAGCAGTTCTATTTCAGTTTCTGGAGTTGTAGGCTGAATCATAAATCTAGTCTTATAGATCGAGAATATGATCAGGAGTGTTTGGAGGCTGTTTGCAAATCAAATGCTGGTAATTTCGAGTAAGATAGTCTTGCCCTGCCTGACTCCAGCCTGACCAGTTTCACAGAAGCTGAGAATCTGTTGACACTGATAGATTTTTGGGTAATGAAGCCATGATCTAATCCAGGGCCAGAGCGGTAAACAAGTGGTTTGCTGTTTAGACATGTAAGGTAACTAACACAATTAAGGTAAGGCAGGCCACTTACAGGTGGGGTGAAGATGTCTCCTGCGTTGACACAGGAACCTCCTCGGTGGTATGCTAACTTCAGCGTGTGGACGCTTTTCTCCTTAGGAGCAGGATCAATTTGATGCCCCAAAAGTCTTGTTAGGTATTCTGTTCATTCCTCAGAGAAGTATCATGAGGGTTAATTATTTCTCTGCTCTGACTCAGACAGTGATTTTGTGCCAGAGGATTCTGGCAGTAAGTATAATCCTAGTGATACCCTCAGTGAGGAAACCATTGTTAACGATGTTGATGAGGAAGCGCTAATGGAAGCTGAACCAGAGCCTGATATAGAAATTGAGAGACCTAAGGCAAACAAAGGAAAGAGGTTGGAAACCTGGCTGTTTTCAGCCTTCCGCAGCAGATCTTACAAAAAATAACTCTTTGTCTTCTTCCCCTTTCCCCCCCATCCAAACGCAGGCTGCAGAATGGCTCTCCTGAGGCTGAGCTGTGCTAGAGGGAGGGAGGAGATGCGCTGCTGAAGTGCTGGTGCTGATCGTCGTTCCCCCGGGGAAGACATGCAGCAAGGAGCAGGTTTCAAATGGAGTGTCTCTTCAGCAAAACTGGGTTGCCAGATGGGGACCGAGGCCCTCGCTCTGCCCAGGCTCCAGCAAGGCATTGCTCCAGAGCCAGTCGGCACTGTGAATTAGAAATACATTGGCCTTGTTACCCTATTTAGGATCGGTGCTCTGGAGTTAGATGCTGCATGAATAAAACATATTTTCCATACTGTTTTTCTCTATCAGTATTTTATAAACTCATGATGAGAGACCAGTGATCTCTGCCTGCTGTGTAACTGTGCTGTGAGGGGCAAAAGGGCTCCCTGCGCCAGCACACAGAGCTAAGCACAACTTAGCCCTTAAAAAGTTTCCCTTGTCCCAAAGAGATTATTTTCCTCCCCTAGTCCCGTGTGGTTTCCAAGGCCCAGTTTAAACACATACAATGACATAGGATAGAT